GAGCCTGGGCCGGTCAGAGACCAGCCCTCTCGCTGCCGCACGGCCCCGGCGCCCGGCCCGGCCCCGCCAAGCCCGCCCGCCTTTCCCTCTCACCCCTATCCCAGGACCCCCGAGGCCGCACTCACGGTTGGCAATGTCGCCCCCCATCTTATACTTGGTCACGACCAGATCTTCGGCGATAGTTTGCTCCTGCTGCTCGTCCTCGCCCGACATCTTCCCACCACCAGCACTGCAGTCCTGCGCTTCCCGAGCCGCCGCCTCAGCCTCCCTCCAGCCACAGGCTGTGGTCAGAGCCCCGTCTATCCGCGAGGAGAGCGCGAGCGAGCAAGGGAGCGGGCAGGCGAGAGCGAGAGAGTGCGAGCGCGCGGGCTGAGGCGCGAGGCACGCTGGGACATCGAGTTCTTGTCCCCTCCAGCCTCCAGCCGCTCTGGCGCGCTCGCGAACTACAATTCCCAGCCTGCCTTTCGCGCCCCTAAGCCAGGCCCTGGGGCCTTGCCCTCGGAGGGCCTAGCACGCCGGAATCGCCGGGCACGCTGGGAAGGGTCAGGCTCCGGCGGGAAGGCGGAGCCGTTGGGAGCATGAGGGGAAGCGTGGTCTCTCCCGGAAAAAACCACATCCACCAGAAGCCCTGAGACCCCGAACGCGGGGGGCGGGCTGAGGGCGCCGGGGCGGAGCCACGGCGGGGAAAATGGGTTAGAAGGCTGCGGGGCAAGGTGGAGCCGCGGCGCGCAGGGAGTGACCCACTGCGGGCGGGCGGCGGGCGGCGGGCGCGCCCTCGTCCTCGCCCTCGCCCAAGTGGTTGGACCCGGTGGGACCGGCTTGGCCAGTCCAGTTGTGCTGGGAGAACCGGGCCGGGCAGAGCCGCGCGAACGTGAAAGGAAACCACGGGCGCGAGGAGCAGGGACCAGCTGGCAGCCGGGCCCCGGAGGGACTGTCCACGCTCAGCCTCCGGGGTCGAGGCGGACTCACTGCAGATGGCACTATTGTCCAGCGGCGGACTTGGGTTGCGCCTACGGAAATGCGAGTCCGAGGAGACTTGGTCTGAAACCTCGGCGTTTCGGCGTCCCACCTCTGGAGGGAGCGCGCCGCGAGCACGTCCTCTAACTTCCCCAAACGCGCTGTTGCTTCTCGGCTCCTTATTCCCCCTGGGCTGCCCCGTCGACGTTGCAAGTCGAAGCCTTGAACGCAAAGAAGGGGGCGCCCTGCTGGCCTTAAAGGTCTGCCAGGAAAGGCAGGCTGGGGGACGCGCGTAGACGAGGACTGAGAAGGCAGCGCGCTGTGGTGGCCACCCACTGCTGAGGAGCACAGGAAGGGGGCGAGGTTGTCGTTTGACTGACAGGAAGCTAAAAGAATTGGCATTTTTATTCAGACACGTATAAAAACAAAACAAAAAATTGAAGGGATACAGATAACATCCCAGATCCCCGATCCAAGGGAACAGAGCTCTGAGCGGACCCCTTTCCAGCCCGACTGAGAGCTTCCCAACGACTGGATGAGAAGAGGTCCTAAATGTGGCTCCTGGGACATTGTGAATCTGCCCCTTGATTAAGAAGTGAAGATCCTTTACAGCAAATTAGATCATTATTTACACGAACATACCCAAAGGTTTTTCCTTCTAACTATCCTACCCTCGTTCCTGAGATGAAAAGCTGATATAGGAAGAGGCTGTGGTTTTTGGGTTTAGACTTGTTTCAGTGCAAAAAACAAAAAACAAAAAACAAAAAAAAAAACGAGAAATGCCCCTTAAAAGAACTTTCTTTTCCTTGATACTTTACAGTAAGAGCACATATATTGGAAGATAATGAATACTGGACCTGCCTCTACATTTGCTTAATCTCATTAAGGCTCAGTTTCCCTATTTGTAAAAATGGGATAATAACTAGCTCACAGAATGGCTTCCCTAGCAGAATTGCGAGGACTCCATGAGATAACACAGTAAAGTTTAGTATGACGCTTTGCCCAGTGTTGCATTAACAGTAATCATCACTACCTACTCCTAACCTCTTCGGTCCACAAAACTTTAAGCCAAAATTTCCTTCTAGAGGGTTAAGAGTCATAAGCCACAATTTTACTTTCCCCTGCTGGGCTTCAGCCCTTTCCTCTTCCTTAGGTGTCTGATGAGAAACAAAGGCACACTTTGGAGGCTAGTCTCAACAAGTCAGAGCCTGAGAGAAAGGGGCATGGGGCGTGGAGTAATCCTTCATATCTCCAGGGAGTTTGCCTGAGGAACGGGATTGGGAAAGCACACGAAACAGGGAAAAACCTTCTTCTTTCCCGGGATTGGGAAAGAGAAGAAAGTGCACAGCTGGCTACATATCACAAAAACTTTGTGTCAGTGTTAAAAGCCTCCAAAGGTCGATGCAATTGTCTAGGACTAGGGAAATGGAGCCAAGACCTGTGAGGGAGAGGGGCTAGGGAGAAGAGGGGTACCCTCTAGAGGCACTAGCTGCCATTAAATGTTCCCTGAGTGCGTCAGGGAGCAGGGGTTATGTTCTTTGGGCATTAGCCTTGGGGAAAAGCCTGCTATGCCAGTAATCGGGGTTATCAAAGGCAGAGTCAGTTGCTTCTAAACTACGCAGAGTTTTGAGGCGGGCGTAATGGACATGGGGGGCGTGGTGTCCAGGCCCCTGGAAGGCTCTCATCTCCTCATACCCTTGCTCAGATGCGGGGGAGGCCCCCATGGCTGCGTAATCTCCCCCCGCACTTCCTCCGCCACGTCGCCGATTCATATACTCATAGTCCTCGTCTGGAGTGGTGCCCGCGCTGGGCAGGAGGGGCACCGGGTGGAGCGGGCAACTCTGCGTGCTGCCCAGAGAAGCACTGAGGTCTGATCCCACATCCATGTACTCGTAGCCCAGTTCCTCGAGGGAGCCTGGCCTAGGGTGACGAGGTAGACTGTGCCTTCTCCGGTTCATGTATTCATACTCCTCATCTTCATCTTCTTCTTCAGTACCCAGGACAGAACTGAGGCCCACTGAAGACAGGGTGCCTTCCCGCGAGGAAGGGGTTCCTGGGGTTGAGAACAGGTCAGGCTTGTGGAGGAAGTCACGGTAATAGGCGGGGCAGGGGACAGTTAGGAAAACATGAACAGGCAGGGTGATAGTGAGAGAATAAAGGATAAAGAGGATTAGAGGACCTAGGGGTCAGGCACCTTTGAGGTGTGCATCTGGCATGACATAGCCATTGACGTCCTCTTCCTCCAGCCCGGATGGGGCCAGTGTGGTGACAGGGCTGAGCAGGCTGTGGCGCTGGGAGTGGTAGGCGCTGTCTCCACGTGGCCGTGGGCTGCGGCTCCGACTTCGACACATGGACACTTTGTCCTGCAGCTCGGCCTCGGAGCCGGTCACATGGCTCTCTGACGACTCTGATGTCAGGCGGCCCCGAGGCATCGGGTGCAGAGAGGCTGGGCGGGGGCACCGTTCACTGCTCCCACAAACCACAGGCTCCTAGGGAGTAAAATACATGGGACTTACACAAGGAAAGAACAGACCCTAGGGAGGAGGCTGGCTTCCTGCTCACTGCCTCCTTCACAGGACACTGACTAAGCCTCAGAGGTTTCTTAAGGCTCCCACACTACCCCTATTAGCCCTAAGACACCCTGCTACCCACCCTCTCAGCAGCTTCTTAGAAAGACGAGACTTACCAGGCCTCCCTGGTGCACAACAGGGTTAAGTCTCAGAAGCCACTGCTGCAGCACGAGTTCGATCCCGGCCAGGGGCTGGCTCCCAGGGCCAGCAGAACTCTCCTGTCTCCCCGCTGCTCCCTGAGCAGTGGGTTTCAGTCCATCTGCCTGTCCTGCTCCCCACTCTATCTCCTGTGAATCCTCTCGCCCCACCTCTGACCTGTACCCCAGTTCTGTATGTATAAATAAATCTAAAAAAAAAAAAAAAGACGAGCCTTACCTGGCAGGCCTCCCCAAGATTACCCTGGTTCATAGGCATATAACCAGACGACGGACTTAGAAGGTTCTGGTTCTAGAATGAAGATGAAGGGAGAAATCAACTCAGCACAGGCACATACTTAACTAGGTATCTAGGGGCTAGGAGGGCTCAGGTAGGCAGGGGACTGGGGTGCTGGGGGCGCCTACCCCGCGCTGCCGAGTCAGCGTCCCGCCGGGCTGGCCTCGCGCAGAGCCTGGTGCCTCCGCCAGGCTGTCTTCCTCCGCCTCCAACTCCAGGTCTAGGTCTAATTCTGGCTCCAGCTCTACTTCCTCCAGTTCCTTGTCGGTCAGGGCAGGGGCCTCTGCCCCAGGGGGGATTCCAGGCCCACTCTCTCTCTGAGGGCAGGCCATTATTAAGGTGGATGCTGGTCCTAGCCAGGTCCCCTTTTCTCTAAATCCCCCCCATGCCTCCCCGTCCCCGCTCACCTTTATGACCAAATACCTCGGCGGATCCCGGGCCATCCTGGTGAACTCATTGGCGAGTTCTTTAAAGGTGGGGCGAATGTTCTCGTCGATCATCCAACCTGCAGGGAAGGCGCAGGTGAGCCGTCAGCAGAGGGGAGAGAAGAGCGGGGAGGCATCACAACATGGGTGGGGTCAGCAGGTAACTCACACTTGACCATGACCATGTAGACATCAATGGTACAGATCTGGGGCTGGGACAGCCTCTCCCCCTTCTCCAGCAGGTCTGGCACTTCAGCCAGCCGCAGTCCTGCGTAGGGCTCTGCCCCGAAGGTCATCAGCTCCCAGACCGTGACACCTGGTGTGGGAAGACATGCCAGGTGAGGGTAAAATAGCACACAGGTGATTTGGTGAGGGCAACCCCAAGGGGATTCCAACTGAGACGGAAAAAGGCACAAAATGATGTAAAAATAAACTATTATTCATAAAAAAAAAAAAGAATAGTAGACAGGGCGAACCTGATCTGACGCGAGGGTCTGAAGGGCTTCGAGATTTTTCTTTTTTTTTTAATATCTATGCGCACAGAACTGGGGTACAAGCCAGAGGTGCAGGGGTGAGAGGATTCAACAGAGACAGAGTGGGGAGAGAACAGGCAGATCCACTGAAACACACTGCTGAGGAGCAGCGGGGAGACAGGAGAGGTCTGCTGCGCCCTGGGGTTCACCCCTGGGCCCGGGGATCGAACTCGCACTGAAGCAGCTGCGGCCAGCTTGCAGTGCTGCGCCCTAACCCGCCCTAACCCGCTGAGCCACCAGGGAGGGCCCTTGAGATTTTTCTAGAGTCTCAAAAAGGCCATGGAATCTGGGACAGCGATGTGCGGAGGCCTCGGGGTGGACTGACCGTAGCTCCAGACGTCACTCTGGTGCGTGTACTTCCCAAAGTGGATACTCTCAAGGGCCATCCACTTAATTGGAGTCTGGAGATTAAAGACAAAGGTGCCACCAGTTGGTTCCACAGATGCTTTGGCATGTCTGAACCCCAAGTTCTCGATCCTTCTTTCCACGCAGCACCTTTTGGTCTCAGGGAGACCACAGACCACTGCCTCTGCCCTGCCTCACCGGCCGCCTCCCATCCCAGCTCTCGCACATCCTCACCTTGGCCTCACTGTGCAGTAGCTGCTTATCATCGGGGGGCAGCAGGTCAGCCACCCCGAAATCTGCCACCTGGACCTGACTGGGCGACTTGAGCAGCACATTTCGGGCAGCCAGGTTCCTGTGCACCATGCCGTGCTCCTCAAGATAGTACATGCCCTAAAGAGGAAGGAGATCTCTCCATGTCGGGGGACGCAGAGTCACCCTGACCCTCAACACACCTCTCAGAACTAACTCAAGGTCCCGCTGAGTCCCGGAGGCCCTCGGCTAGGTGGTCCCATCAGGGCCTGGGGTGCCTCTCACCTTGGCAATCTGTACTCCCCAGTTGAGCAGCAGTTGTGGGCCCAGTGCCCCCCGCTGTTGCCTCACATGATCCAGCAGGGAGCCCAGAGGCAGGTACTGAGTGACCAGCTGCAGAGATGACCCCGGGCACAGCCCCAGCAGCCGTACGATATGGGCATGGTCCAGGCTGCCGATGGCCAGCATATGCTAGGAGACACGGGGGGGTTAGCAAGGATCAAACAGGTTCGCACAGGGCCCCCCCACCCCCGCATTCAGCGACAGATGACCAGCAGTCTGTGGGAGCAGAACCCCGCTTCCACGGGGTCATTCTGTGCTTAGCGCTCTCCCGCCTCCCTTACATCTGTGACCGCTTGGAAGCTTTGCCGTCCACTCTTGTCCTCGATGACTTTAATGCAGACTGGAATCTTGATGGATTCACCCTCGGGGATCCACACTCCCTGAAAGGCGACGGGGGCGTCAGTCTGAGGCTGAGGGTAGTCCTCTCCCGAAGTTCCTCCCCTCTCTTCCCTCTGCCCCAGGGCCTGGCTCGGCCTCCCTGGGTGCCCAGGGCGCTCACTTTGTGCACAGTTCCAAAGACGCCCGAACCCAGAACTTTAAGCTTCCGCAGCTCCGTCTCTTTGAAGATTCTGGCCAAGACTTTGTTGGCTTTCTCACTGGGGTCCAGAGGTTCGATGCTCTAAGCAGCAGGTGGGAGAGAGACACTCAGGGAAGCTCTCTGCTGCATCCCACCCCAAGCCCGCACCGCAGCAGCGGAACCGAAGGGTAGCGGCAGGAAGAGAAACTGTCTTTCGGCTTCAAAAGCGTCACGGGCACATTGGGAAATGACCCTGACTTTGAAGAAATCTGTGCCCTGAAGTCAGGTACCAAGAGGTGATCCTTTCCACGGGGAGGCTGGTGATACTGGCACTTGAGCGCATTTACACATTATAGTTTTCAAAGTGCTTTCAGTAACCACCCCGTCACCCTCACGGCCTTCCTGTCGGGACGAATGTGAAGATGCCGCTGACACGTGCAGAAATTGAGACAGAGAAGGAAAGTTTTAACGTGTGGAGGGCGAGAACGCGTGCCCCCCAGTTCTCTGGCCAGAGCTCTTTCTGTGGGCCCCGTTACCTCCTTGAAGAAAGGGATCAAGTCTCAGGGGACGGAAGAGGCTCCGGAAGAGCGAGGACGGGGTACCTCTCGAGAAAAGCGGGCGCTCACCTCACCCCTCTCCAGGTAGCGTCTCATCGCCCTTTTGTTCTGAATCCGGCGCCCACGCCAGTACAGAAAAGTGACGCCCAGGATGAGGAAAATCACGGCCAAGCCTCCGACCACGGTTAAAGCCATTGCTAGGTGGGTTTTGCTGTGGGACAGTGAATTCAGCATTATCATGGGTTCACGCCTCCCCTGAAATGTCACTTAGAGCTGTATTAGAGGTATGTTGCAGGTCTAGGTGAGACACGTGACCCGTAACCTTGGCACTGAAGGAACTGAACACCTAAATCTGCCTCCCTGTGGGCTACTGCAAGTGAACTGTCTTATATTACATCACTTTGTGCCTTTTCCATCTCGGTTGTCATCCCCGTGATCTTCCCATCACCAGATCACCCTGTGACACCACCACAGTCCAGTGCATTTCCCTCCCCCCACTGTTTTTGATCCCATTTCCCACTCCGACCCTATAAAATGCCTCTGGTCTATAGCTGTTCATTATTATTATTATTTTCTTGCCTGGTCCTTTATACACCTGCTATGAGTGAAACCATCCGGTATCTTTCCTTTTCTTTCTGGCTTATTTCACTAAGCATGATCCCTTCCAGCGCCATCCATGTTACTGCAAAAGGCAATCTTTTTGATTGCTGAGTAATATTCCATTGTGTAGATGTACCACATCTTTTTAATCCAGTCATCTACTTTTGGGCTTTGGGTTGATTCCATGTCTTTCCGATTGTAAATAAAGTGGCAGTAAACATGGGGTGCAGGTATCTTTCTGAATCAGTGTCTTTGTGTCTTTTGGGTAGATGCCTAGGAGGGGGATTGCTGGGTTGTAGGGAAGCTCCATGTTTTAGCAGTTTGAGAAACCTCCAAACAGCTTTCCATAGTGGTTGCACTAGTTTGCATTCGCACCAGCAGACTGCAAGTGAATTTTAAGAAAGGAAGGCCAGGTCCTCCCTGCTGGCGCACTGGGAAGCTGTCACAGCCGCTGCAGCACAAGTTCCATGCCCGGCCAGGGAGGGACCCCCAGGGCGCAGCAGACCTCTCCTGTCTTCCCACTGTTCCCCTCAGCAGTGGGTTTCAGTCAATCCAACTGTTCTGTTTCCCAATCTCCTCTCACCCCACCCCTGCACGGCTGGCCTGTACCCCAGCTCTTGTATGCATAAGTAAGTAAACCTTTAAAAAAGAAAGGAGGCCAACAGCCTGCATTCTTCTGTCACTGAGCCCAGAGATAAGAGATTCAATTCCTGTCAGCTGGTGACCGCCCTCTCCCGCTTCCTTCCCAAATATCCCATTTTCTAATGCTCCACACTCTTCCTACCTGATCAGCACAGGTGTTTGGCCTGAACAGTCCTGCAGGTCTGGTCCTTTACACCTAGGGAGAAAGTCATGTTCTAGGCCTTCTCTGGGGGCTCAGGGGTCACAGCGCAGCGCTGTGAAGCTGTCCACAGCTACTGCGGCACGAGTTCAATCCCCGGCCAGGGAGGGACCCCAGGGTGCAGCAGCCCCCTCCTGTCTCCCCGCGGCTCCCCTCAGCAGTGTGTTTCAATAGATCTGCCTGTTCTGCTCCCCACTCTATCTCTGGGAAACCTCTCACCCCCCTCTCACACAGACCCAGTTCTGTGTGCATAAATAAATAAATCTTTACAAAATAAAAGTCACGCTCTTAACGGGGGAGCTTGGGCTACTCCCACTGGAGGCTCAGTTCCAACGGCCTCAACCTACAGCATGTCTCAGGCCCTCTGGCCTCCATCCCGGAGCCCAGCGCATATTCCACAGCCCCTGGCCCCATTTCTCGCTCAGCCACCTTCAAGACGCCTGAGCTAGTGATTTCAGGCTCCCAAAACCACCGCTTAGCTTCGTGCTGTTTCCCTTTCTTCAATCCTTCACTACACAGCTGGGAGTGGCCTGAGGGCATGGTCACTCCCTGTCCTGCCGCCCTCACCCTGCCTCACCCTCATTCTGTGCTCCGACTGGCCCCCCAAGCCCTCCTCACGTCCCATCACTGACCCCTGCGTGCAGTTCTCGTGACAGGGCCAACACTCGTTTTGAGCGTCTGGGTACTTGTAGATGGGGCCCTTGGCACCCAGGACTCCATTGGGGCAACTGCTCACACAGTGGGGTCCATCTCGGAAGTGGGCACACTGGGCACAAGCATCAGAGCCCTGGGTGGGAAGGAAGGTCAGGGAGAGTGGGTCCCAAGGTCCATTCCATAAACCCCTCCAGAAACACCACGCCAGGGCCTCCCTGGTGGTGCAATGGGTTAAAATGCAGCACTACGAAGCTGTCCACAGCCGCTGCAGCCTGAGTTCAATCCCGGCCAGGGAGTAACCCCAGGGTGCAGCAGGTTCCTCCCGTCTCTGCTGCCCCCCTCGGCAGTGAATCTCAGTGGATCCACCTGTCCTGCTCCCCACTCTGTCCCTGTGAGTCCTCTCACCCCACACCTCTGGCCAGTTCTGTATGCACAAATGAGTAAATCATAAAAAAAGAAAGAGCAGCCCAGCGCTCCGGCTCCTACGGCCACAAACCCGCGCTGACCCGGCCTCCCAGTGTGGCCTTGACACCCGGCCACATCCTGGCCTAGGTCCTCCGTGCCGCCCCCGCCCGCTCTTCCTCGGAGGTTCGGGGGCTGCTACTGTACCGAGCCGTTGCAGGTGGCCGTGCCCTCCATGGGCTGGCATTCCGGGTGGCAGGAAAAGCATTCCGCTTTGTGGGCAAACTCACGAGGCTCCCTGGCGTGGGTGGAGGGAGGGCCGCTTCAAGTCCTGACCTCTGCACCCTGCACCATTCCCACCAGCGCCTACACAGCAAGCTCCGAAGGCTTCGGGGCCCTGAGCAGCTGCCCCCCAGGGCACACCCCTCACCCCTTCTGACTCTGCCCTCACCGTACCCATTCAGAAAGTTGCAGTGGGTCACGCAGACACCGCCTCGGCTGTAGTTCCGACAGGACAGGCACTGGCCAGGGCCAGGGCCCCAGCACCCCCCCGAGGAGCACAGGGGGTCACACACCTTGCCCTCTGCCACTGGAAAGGAAGGGGTGGGTGAGGAAGGTGGAGTTCCCTACGGAGCCCTCTCCTGGACTCCCGGTGACTGCTTGGGGCCTAAGCCCCTCTGTGACTCGCTCTCGTGGTGGGGACGCAGCTCTCCCTCCCAGTCCCCCCCCCCGCGCCCCCTGCGGCCGTCCTGCCGGTCCCTCACCGCAAGCTTCGCGGGCCCGATTGTCCTTGATCTCCAGCCTCTCCTCCGCAGGCCCCCGAAGCAGCTTGGTCCAGTTCAGAGAATGGTGGTAGCACAGTTGCGAATTGGCACTTATGTAAATACGCCCAGCACTGATTTCTTTCAAGGAGCGGAGGCCTAGAGATGTTATGTTCAAGTTCTTCATGATCAACAACGAGAAGCCCCGGCTGGGAACAAGGAGACAGGATGAGATGACACAGGGAAAACCGGCTGTGCAGGGGTTCATCCAGACCTGTTCTGGGGTGGCCCCACCGACCAAGAGGGGCTCCCCACCCCCACCACCAAATGCTCAGCCCCTCTGGGCCCGCGAGAATGCCCGGGCCTCCCCCAAGGATGCCGAGAAACGGGGCCCCTTGCCGGAGAGGCTGCCACCGCCGCCCTTACTCACTTGTACAGACTTCTGCCCCCAATGGTCGTCAGGTTGGAAAAGACACTGAAGTTGTGCATGTGAGGAGGCCAGGACTGGATGTTCAGGTAACCTGAGGGTTGGGAGAGGAGATGAACAGGCCCCGCCCCTGCCTCCTCCTCTGTTCTGCTCCCTGCCCTGTTCATTGCTGGGGACAGGAGTCATCACGTAGGTCCCTGCAGCTGGTGCCGCTGGCTCATCGATTCCCCTCCGAAAAGCTGCTCCTCCCACTCACCTGTGATCTCCTGAACTGTCTGGAAGATATTGAGCTTCTCGGGGTCCAAGGCAGGGATCTTGTGCCAGGGATCTCTGAGAGAACAGCAAAAACCAGTGAAAGGGTAAAGGTATAGCCCGCCACGAGGAGAGTGCCTCCCTGCAGAGCTTGTTCTACATGCTGAAGGGGCGGGGTGCCTTGAGGAAACGGCTGGAGCAGGAGAAATAACACCTCAGCCTATGGCATTTTGTAAAAATAAATTAAAAGATTATTTATTTATGCATTCAAGAGCTGGGGTACAGGCCAGAGGTGCCCCATTATTTTTTAAAGATTTATTTATTTATGCATATAGAACTGGGGTCCAGTCCAGAGATACGGAGGGGGAGAGAGGATTCACCAGAGACAGAGTGGGGAGCAGAACAGGCAGATTGACGAAGTACACTGCTGAGGGGAGCAGCGGGCGGGTCAGGAGAGGTCTGCCGCGCCATGTGGTCACCTCAAGGGCAGGCGGGGATCGAACTCATGCGGAAGCTTTAGCTTCTCAGTGCTGTGCTTTAACCCGCTGCGCCACCAGAGAGGGCCAGAGGTGCCCCATTATTATGGAAGTTAATTCAGGCAAATACTCCTCATAAGGTAGTTGCTAATTATAATGGGGATAATGGGGAAAACCCTAACTTTACAGGAAAAAACCAGGCCAGTACTTCCCCAAGCGAGTGACCAGGGACATCGTCCCTGGCGACAGCACTGTCATATCCTCCTTGACGCGCCGCGCCGAGCTTACATCTCCAGTATCCCTGTCATTACTAGAGGCCCTCACTGCCACCACAGCGCCAGGACTTTGATCCCCGGCCAGGGAGTGACCCCCAGGGCGCAGCAGACCTCTCCTGTCTCCCCGCTGCTCCCCCCAGCAGTGTTTCAGTAGATCCGCCCAATCTGTTCTCCACTCTGTCTACGGGGGAGTCCTCTCACCCCCTGCACCTCTGGCCTGTACCCCAGCTCTTGTCTGCATAAACAAATTTTAAAAAAAACTGCATAACTCAGGCCTCCCTGATGGCACAAGAGGTTAAAGCGCAGCACTATTAAGTGATCAGCAGCCGCTGCAGCACCAGTTCGATCCCCAGCCAGGGAGGGACCCCCAGGGCGCAGCAGACCTCTCCTGTCTCCCCGCTGCTCCCCCTCAGCAGTGGGTTTCAATGGATCCACTTTTTCTGCTCCCCACTCTGTCTCACTCCACCACCCCTGGCCTGTACACCGTACTTATCTGCACAAATAAGTAAAAACAAATCTTTAAAAAAAGCTACGTCAGGCCCTCTGTGACGGCTCAGAGTTCCCCATGTTGAGCCCCAATCAGCTCCACAGGGAGGGCTGAGCAGCGCAGGGTGAGGGGGGTCACGGAGGGAAAGCAGACTCTAACCCGTTGAGGCCGGTGATAAGAAAGTCCAGGTTGCCCAGGATCTTGGTGCAGTTCACAAATCCATCAATGTTGCTGGAGTCCACCGTCTGGTAGCGGCTCCCGGCTCCGGTCCCCTCGCAGGCTACAAAGACAAAAGCGGCTCAGTGAGGGGCCCAGAAGCCTGCGGACGGACACGTCTTCGGCAACTCCTTGCACGTCTGACTCACCTTTGGGGCAAAGCCCCCCACAAGGTTCACATATCTTGAGTCCGTTTTTATCTACTTCCATCTTGTCAGGAGGACAGGCCCGGACACACGAGGTCTGATCCACCACGAAGTTATCTAGGAGAGAGGAGAGCGGCCTGGGAGGAGCCTGCCAGCTTCCCCAAGCCCTCTGTGGCTCCGGCTCCTTTCCTGTACTGATTTGCCCTACTCCATATCTAGCGATTTCTCCAGTCGGGGCCCCCTGGTGGCGCAGGGATTAAGTCGCGGCACTGTGCAGCCCTCCGCAGCCCCTGCAGCGCGAGTTCGATCCCCGGCCAGGGAGGGACCCCCAGGGCGCAGCAGGCCTCTCCTGTCTCCCCGCGGCTCCCCCCAGCAGTGAGTTTCAGTCCATCTGTTTGTTCTGTTCCTCACTCTGTCTCTGGAAGGTCCTCGCACTCGCACACCTCTGGCCTGTACCCCAGCTCTTGTGTGCATACACAAATAAAGCTTTTAAAAATAAAGATTTAAGTGTGCCCCTACGGGTTAGAAAGCTCCTTTGCGCTGTTGCCCTAAAGAGCAGGACTAGGAACAGTGTCTGAGCCTTGTGGAAGTGGATGGGTGCGGCTGGGTGGTCACAGCCGTCTGCCCCCAGGCCCCCTAGGCCCCCACCGACCACCCGACTTGACCCGTCTGTCCCCAGAACGTGTCCAGGGCCCGGCGCCGCCGCCCCTGCCGCCTCCCCGAGAGACTTACGGGGACAACTGGCCACACAGACTCCTCCATACTGGTACTTGGTGTGGGGGTTGGGCTCCAGCTGGAAGGTCAGCTTGTTGTAGACCAGGGGCTGTGGGCACTGGCGCACACAGGCTCCACTGTCGTTGAAGAGCCGACAGGCCTAGGAACACGACCACTGAGCTCACGGTGTGCGTGCCCCCACTCTTTCCCGAAGCCAGCACCCCGCCTCGGCACCCAGACCGGTACGTACGAAGCAGTCTGTGTCCTGAGGGCCGGAACAGCCCCCCGCGCACTCGTCGTGACAGCACTGGTTGGGCAGGGGCCCGAAACAGTGGCCGTTACACTGAGGGGCACAGATGGTCTTGGTCACTGTGGAGGAGAGACAGCATGGCTGTGGGCCCCCCGCCTCTCCCCACACCCCCGCCCGTGCGGAGAAGGGATGAGCAGGGACATGACGGCTACGGGTCTGGGAGCCTGGAGGCGAGCACACGCACGTATCTGGCAGTCGTCCGGTCCGGGGCCCCAGCACCGCCCCCTGCAGTCCTCGTGACAAGGGGGACCTGCGGGGGGAAGCCAAGGGGCCGTCAGGGCTCGGAAGGCTGCGGGAGCCCGCGGGAATGACATCAGCACTCAGGCACCCCAGCCCCGGAAGGAAGAGCAGGGCCGCGTCCCTCCTTGCCCTGCAGGACAGGGCTGGGCCCAAGTGAACCTGTCAACAAGGGGTGGGGCCCCGCCCCCTCCCACCCACGGGAGGCTGGGGGGAGGCAGGCGCTGGGCAGGCGCCAGGCCGCCCGGCCCGAGCCAGGCTAGCAAACCCAGGGTGCACGCGGCGCGTGGGGCGCTGGGACAGTCGGGGCTCAGCGGGTCCCCGACCGGACAACGAGGCAGCGGAGAGAAAAGTAGGGCGGGTGTGAACGTGAGGCGTCTGCGCTACGCAGAGACCTTCTGCCCCTTCTCCTGACACCCCCTCTGTGATTCAGATGCTGGGGGGCCGCTCTGCTCCCTCCTGCTAGGCTGCGGGGGTCTAGGGTCCGAGGTGTTGTCCAGTGCAGAGGGCCCCCCCCCACGGGGCCAGCGGGGGGCAGTCAGCCCGGCTGGCGGGGTACGGGCAGCCACTCACAGCTCCTGCCGTTGTCCTTCACCACGATGGCCGCCTCCCGGTCCCGCACGATGTCGCTCCAGTCAATGGTGTCCATGTGACAGAGCTTCTCGTTCTTCTCAATGTAAACACCCCCGGAAAGAATCTCTGAGGCGGAGAACAGCCGTGACGGGGTTAAGGGCCACAGCAGGCCGGCCTTCCCTACCTCCACCGGCCCATAAGGACACCCCAGACACCCCAGACTCAGAGCAAGTGGGCTAGAGCCAACTGCAGGAAGGCGGCATGGAGAGGAGGAGCCAGGAGGAGATTCCTGCCCCTCAGACACCTGCCCCGAGCCGGTTTGGCCAGTGGGGGAGGGGAGGGGCGGAGAGAGGATCCCTGCTCACACCCCCACCGGCTGGCCGGTGGCTTCAAACCCTCAGATCTGTTCGGTTTCTGGGGCGGAAGAGGCAGAGTTGCGTGAGAGGGGAGAGAGAAACGCTGTGAGGTTAAGGCACAGGGACTGCACTGCCCTGGCCCCCCAGAACAACAGGACCCTCCCCCCGGGGCAGAGGCCCAGCCCCCGGGGCCCCTGTGGCCGCTGGCCCTCTGCTGCCCAGCGAGGAGCTGTGGACCTCTAGACCACCAGGGTCAAGGTGATGGGCACCTCGAAGGGGCACTCAGAGCAGTCTGGGGGCGCGGTCAAGGAGGAGCGGTCAGGAGGCGGAAGGACGGGACAAGAGCGGGGCGGAACTGACCGGTGAGGTGGGTGAAGCGCAGCTGGCGCAGGGCGTGGCTGGAGTTGGTGTTGTAGTTGAGCATGACAAAGATGGCGAACTTCCCGTCGTAGACCTGGGTCCCCCGCACCACGCGAAGGTTGGGCAGCGGCAGAGTAGAGAACTCGTTCATGGCCACCAGGACATAGCCGGTCACCTCTCGGATCCACTGTGATGGGCAGGTTGTGTCGGGGAGGGCAACAGGCAGGGGCCTCTACACCCCCCCACCCCGGCACTGCAGAATCCCAAGCTCTCACTCCTATTTCTGAGTTGGGAGCAGACGGTGTCACCTGACGGAGTCCCCGCTGCCCCTGGAGACGGGCAGCAGAAATGACCAAGGCCTCCCGCCCTGCCCTTTCCTTCCCCGAGGTCCTGGTGTTGTCCCCACAGGGGTCTGTCTGCATTAGTCCCTGCCCGCCACCCCCATCCCGTGGCCAGCCCCCCCACTGAGTCTCCCAGGCTGTAGTGACCAGGCTGCAGGGCCCCCAAAACCCACAGGCTTGCCCCTTAGGAAGGGCGAACCCCAGCAGGGGACAGCCCTGAGAAAGGGAGGCTTCTGGGGGACAGCACAGGTGCCCCAGGGGGTCAGGCACGCAAACCTGCAGGAAGGAGAGGTCAGCGTTGTGTCCAGTGAGCACGATCTCCAGGTTGCCCATCACCACCTCACAGCGATCGTAGAGCTTGTACAGCGTCTGGTACTGATTCTCCGCGTCGCCAGTCACGCTCAGCCCGTTCAGGGTCCCGGGACACACTGTCCAGGCGAGGCGAGTGAGGCAGCCGCTCGGAGCTCGCTGACCGACCTCCCCCGACTCCTCCGGCCTCTCAGCCACATTCAGCGGGACCAGAGCCGGCTGCCTCCACCCTCTGCCTGGAGGGGTGCGCCAGGCCTGCACCCCCTTCTCCTCAGAACCCCCTACCCATGCCCCTGGACAAGAAGGTGCAAAGCTTCCGGCTCTCCGCCAGGGCCTCTTTCAGAGCCTGCTGTGGGTACTAAGGGGTTAATCAAGAAGGCTGTACGGAGTTTTTTCCTCTCCCTAGAAAGAACTGAGAAAGGGACCACAACGGGGTGACCCTCCTCTCCCCCTCCCCCCACGACTCGACTCGGGTATTTACTCCTCTCCCCCACCCTGCCTCTCTCTAGGTCCTGGAATAAATATCTCTTTGGGGCTAACACACAGCCCCTATTGTGTCTGGGGGTGGGGTGGGGGCAGCGGGTGGGGGCAGCGGGTGGGGGCAGCGCCTGGGGCCCCGCGGCCCACAATGAGGCAATTTATCTGGGAGGAGGGGGCTGCCCCACCCTATCCCCAGACACCCAGTCCTCAGCAGCAGCCCCCCAACCTCCAGCCCTGGGCTCAGACAAGTGACCTCACTGGAGGGGGCAGCTCTGGCCCTGGTGGGGGGTTCAATGTGAGCTTTGTCTTCACAGCTGGAAGATAAGGCCCTCGTTGCCCCCCCACTCCAGCTCTGCCTCCCTCCTGGCTGCCCCCGCCCCAGCTCTCTGCAGCCCGTGGGCACCACACTTTCCAGCCCAAGACTTGTCAGAAAACACAGAGCAGCCTGGCTGGAAGGCGCAGAGGACCCGCACCCCGCCCTGCTCATCTGCCATCCCCCCCCCACAATCCCTGTTTGCAACAGGGGAGCCCAAATCCCAGGCGCGGAGGCCAAGTCAGTCTGGCTCACGTGACCTTGTGAGTTCGGCACACTGGGGACTGTGGGCAGCCCCCGGTATCCCGAAGCCTCTCCCCAGCCCCCTGAAACTGAGAGGGAGAGGCAGAGAGCAGCACCTGCTTCAGCCGCGCTCCCCCGGGGGCTGGAGGCCCCACCGCCCAGAGCTGCACCTCTCCTGGATATACCCCTCACCTGGCCACTCAGGGCTCCCCACAAAGGGAAGCAGGTGGGCCAGACCCCCCGCAGAAGGGTAGGCAGGGCCATAGTGAAGGGCTGGAGCCCAGAGGAGGCCGGGAACTCCAGGGTCCTTGGGCCGAAAAGAGACTAGCAAGGTTAGTCATGCCTAGGAGGGCCCCATCCCCCCTTCCTGGCAGGACACCCCTCTTCCAAGTCAAGGCACCAATCACTCTCCCCAGATAAAGGAGGAGCCGAGGTCTGTACAAGGAAGTGGCGTGTGTGTGTGTGTGTGTGTGTGTGTGTGTGTGTGTGTGTACTCGCACTCCGAGGCACACGGACGGCACACAGCGGGCCCCAAACTGTCTGGGGCTCCGCCCGAGGAGGGACTTCAGGTGCCACACCCGGGTACCTGTCCATAGGTGTGTGCGCAGCCTTGTGCCGAGAGGGCTACAGTGTGACGCCCCGGCTCCCGCCACCCCAGGGTAAAGTCCACACAGTTCCTTCACACAAACCAGGAGCAAAGGCCGGAGGGAAGAGTCTGAGCCTCTGGGAGCCGGCGGGAGGGATTCCACCAGCCAGTGGTACCAGGGCAGGGCACAAGGAGGGGGTGTCCCAGACCCTCCTCGGGTAGAGAGCCCTGGGTGGGCCAGGGCAAGACTGTCCAGCCCTCGCAACCAGAGGCCTCCAGCCAGCACCCCACCCCCATCACAGCCAGGACAAAGGGGCTATAGAAGCCCCGAGACAGGCCGGATGCCCAGAGGCTGCAGGACCCAGATAAAGGGTGAAGAACCCCACGAGCCTCCTGGGGGAGGGCGGCCAGGCTGGGGCCCTGGGGCCCAGCTTGAAGACCCCAGGGGCCTGATGGGACAGCGGCCCCCACTCTGCCGGCCCCTCCCACTCTGCCCCTGGACCCCCGCCCTTCACCAGCTGGGAGTGTTCACTTCTCCAGATCCCCGATCTAAATTTAGGCCCAGCAACTGTGGGGCACAGGTGTTTCTCCCACTCCCACCCTGGGGGAGGGGCCTGCCGTGCCAACCCCAAGCAGAGCTGGGGGGGAGGGGAGGAGACCAACAAAGTCCTCCAACTCCAGCAACACCGGGTGCCTGTGGCCCCAGGACACCCCCAAAAGTGGGGGCGCAGATGTCATGGGAGTGGGAGGAAGAGGAGGGCTCCTGGAGACAGGGTGGGACACACGGAGTGGGGGGTGCTGGGGCCCAGGACAGAAGTCTGAGGAGGCGGGGAGGCCCCTGTGGCTGTGGGCAGGGGAGAGGAAAGAAGTCCAAGCTGGACGGGACCCTGCAGCTTCGGCCTGTCCCTAGTAGTCGCTCAGTAAGTACTGGCTGGAGCCATCTGGGTTTGGCCAGCTCAGGTGGGTCCAGTGCGCATCCAGCAGACTCACTTTGAACGAGAGGCACTTTGGGGCCGCGCCTGGCCCCGCCCATGGCACCCGGACTTGGCCCTAGGTTAATGCCGTCCTGCCCCGGGCAGGCCCACTCACGGAAGAGGTGCCGCTCCTGTTTTTCCAACATAGAAAACAACAACTCCCTCCAGCCCTCCCACAGCTCCGCCCTGTCGGCAAAACAACGAAACTGGAGGTTGCTGAAACCCGGGGGGGGGGGGGGGGGCTGGGGAGCAAACTGAGGCTCCCCCTTGGCCCAGCGCGCCCCCCTGCGCCCCCCTGCGCGCATCTCAGTTCGCAGAACGGAGGTCCAGGCCCTCGCGGCACAGCTCCTAGGTGTGAGCTGCCCAAGCCCCTCGAGAGGGGCGAAGTGGGGGTCCGCCACGCGCCGGGGAGCGCTGGGGAGGCGATGAAGTGTGTGTGGCCGGGGCGCGTCCAAGCCCCCCTCGCACCCGGAGAGCGACCGAAACCCAAACGCACGACGGCAACACCTAGCCCAGGTGGTCCCGGGGCTGGGAGTCGGCCTCACCCCCCGGGGCGCCCCCCCAGCGCCCACGCCGCGCACAGCCCCGGGGTCCCCCCGTCGGGGCTCCCGCGCCACTTACCTGCCTGCGAGGTGCCCACCTCGGAGCCCCGGGCCAGGCTGAGCAGCAAGCCCAGCACCTGCAGAGCCGGGGTCGCCTTCATGACGCCGGGGGAGGCGCGGG